GCCTCTGTTCAGGGGTGTGGCTACAAGCCATCCCCTGGGGCCCATGGCGGATGCTATGTTCCTCCATGGGTCTCAGGGGACCCCGTCTCCTGGCCTAGCTGGGAGTCTCCCCTGGGAAACCACAGTAACCAGCACTGGCCAGAGTCAGCGTCAGGTGGCCGGTGGCATGGCTTCCCTTGCATCCCAGGTCTCTGTGGCAGGCGGCCCTTTGACACATCCCTCTGGGGCCACAGGGAAGGCCCCCAGCCCCTCTCTGGCTTCAGTGCCCAACAGACCGGGCGTGACTCAGTCTAATCTTTCCCGGAACAGCACAGGTCCCGGCGTCCCCCAGATCAGTGTCGTTATTCCAACACGCGTAGACCTCTGGCACTCTTCCAAGGCGCCCATGGCCCCACCCAGTTACCAGCGGAGAGATGCCACTCCTCAGGACTCTCTGAAGGGCAGGGCTGGTTGTGGCGCAGCACGGGGTTTCGTAGCTGGGAGGACGGGCATGGGCGCAGTCCCAGGCACTACGCCTGGTGGTACAGCCTCCAGCCTTCCCCCGGGGTCCAGCATCCCAGGCACGGGTCAGAGCCTCCCTGCACGTTCTGGGTCCAGCTGGGTTACCCACAGTCTGGCAGACAGAAAGAAGCAGAGTCCACCCGGAAGACCCTCTGCTAGCTTAGCTGCTCCAAACTTGCTCCCAGGTTCAGCAGTGAGTGGGGCGAGCCCAGGTGTCTCCTCTGGTTCTGTGCCAACAATGGGGGCCTCTAGTGTGGCTCAGAGCCGCCCCAAGGGGTCCATGCTGATTGGAATCACTGCCCGTCCTTACCACAAAGCCCTGGCTGGGGAGAGGTTGACAGTCGCTTTGCAGATGTCCCACGCCACCAGCCCGGCCCCAGTTCACTCCCCAGCCTCCGTCGCTAGTGGTACAGCCGGGAGTCCTCGCCCAGTGCCCGCGGTTCTGTCAAGAGCCTTACAGTTGAGCCGAGATGCCGCGATGATGCCATCTGGGGCCACAGGCCACCAAGCTGAGCTGGGAGAATTCAATGAGTCTCTGTCCCAAGCGTCAGGATCAAGCGGATCCAATGACGTCATCAGCAAAGCTGGGGTCATTGATGCAACTCCATGGATGCACCCCAGTCCTCCGAGAGCTTATGGGGGCCATGACCATAGGTCCCCGTCTGAGAAAGGGACTCTTCCCCAAGGCCAAATACCATTGTTGAAGGAGGTGGCTCCCAGCCATGCTGGTGGCACGGTCCCTGTCCCTTTTCAGGCCCTGGGTTTAGCTACTAAGATTCCCTCAGTTTCTCAGCAGGAGTCACTGGCTCATACTGGACCCCCAAATCACTATCAGGGTATAGTAGCTTCTAATGTAGCCTCGGAATCACCCCAGCTGGCCCGTGGCAGTACTAAGGCCTCTAGATTGCTTCCAGGTTCTGTGGCCAGGGTGGGGAACCCTAGTCTTCCCCAGAGGTCAGGGACAGTCAGCCTGGTCTCACATTCGCCACCACATCCGTCCTCGGCTAGAAAGGCATCGTCCAGTCCCTTCGAGATGGATGCTGTCCTCAATGCACCCCAGAAAACAGCGTCTGGAAATCTGGCTCAGAGCAGCCGCTGGGACTCCGCGGGCCCTAAACATTCCTACAGAGCCACGCATGGTAGTATTATTTCAGAACTGCTAGAAAGCTCTGTGGCCAGGGTCAGGCCCCTCCATCCTGTGCAAAGGCAAGCATTCCAGGCCTCAGCGGGAGGTGCTGCAAACCCCACGCGTCTCCCCTCTGCAGAGATAAGACCCATCATCCGGACCAGGGAGCTGACACACCCCTCGGCCATTCCCCCGCTGGTCCCGGGAGTCCGGAGGGTGTCTCTAGGCTACAAGTCCTCCCTGAATGGTCCCCTGCAGCCCCTTTTTAACCAGGAGTCACCACGGGGATCTCAGGACTCGTATAGCCCCCAGAATCCCGTTAGTCACCAGGCACCGCTGAACTCCACTGTACTCCAGGGCCCCGTGGATGCTGGTGTGGCTGGTGGCCAATCGTGGAACCGCGCTGCGCCCAGTGCGGTGGTCAGGCCGGTGGACCGCGGCGTGGCTCGGGGCAGCGCGTGGGAGTCGGCCGGGGGTGCTGCGTCCTGGGAGACCCGGTGCCACAAGGCGGTGGTGCATCCCAGGCGGTTCGGGGAGCTGACAGTGTCCATTCAGGCCGCGGAACAGAGCCTCATCCTGGCAGTGATCACGATCCAGGCGGGCGCCCGTGGCTACCTGGTGCGTCGCAGGATCCGGGTATGGCACCAGAGGGCTGTGGTCATCCAAGCTGCTTGGCGCGGCTACTGTGTGCGGCGAAGCCTGGCGCACCTCTACAGAGCCATCACGATCATCCAGGCTGCCTGGCGCGGCTACTGCACCCGCCGGAACCTCGCTCGGCACCGGCAGAGGCTCCACCCCGTCCCGTGGGCGAAGCTGGGCGGCAGGGTCCGGGTCCCGTCCGACGGCAGCCGCTTCCAGGATGGCAGGGTCAGGACCGTGTCGGACCACCGCTGCTTCCAGGCCTGCCAGCCCCGCGCGTGCAGCGTCTGCAACTCCCTGAGCTCCAGGATCGGGAGCCCGCCCAGTGTGGTGATGCTCGTGGGCTCCAGCCCTCGCACCTGTCACACCTGCGGACACAGCCAGCCCACCCGCGTGGTGCAGGGCATGGGCCGGGTGGCCGGGGGCCCCCGGGCAGCGTCCTGGGCCCCCGTCTCCCAGCGGGTCGTCCTGAGTGCCAGGCAGCCGCATCACTGGGACAAAGCGGCCGTGGCCATCCAGTCCGCCTGGAGAGGCTTTAAGATCCGACGGCAGATGAGGCAGCAGCAAATGGCAGCGAAGACGGTTCAAGCCACCTGGCGAGGCCACTACACGCGGAGCTGCCTGAAGAGCCCAGAAGCACTCCTGGGAGCAGCAGGCCCCTGCGCCAGCTCACCGCACACACATCGGCCCTGCCTCTAGGACCCCGGCTCCCTGCAGTGGGGACTCCGTGGGGGGCACTCGCGGCTCCCTGGGCCTAATGAATAAAGTCCCCCACAGCCTACAAATCGGTGATGTGTTCTGGGTTAATGGAAGCGGTTTGGGTAAGCTGGGGGAATCTGGAACATCCCAGAGGGAAGAGGAACTCTGAAGTTTCCAACCATGTCGTATGTATCTGGGGTCTGTGGCCAGGACGGGGAGGCCAGTGGCTGCCAATGTGGTCTCACCTGTGCCCTTGCCATATCCACCTGCGGGTAGTGGGGTGGTATCCAGCCCGTCCCAGATGGAAACTGTCCCCAGTGCACTCTAGAAATGTGTCTGGGACCCGGCCCAAAGCACCCACCTCGAGTCCCTCATCCCTAAAAATCCTACAGGATGGCCGGGTGCAGTGGTTCACGCCTGTAATCCCAGCACTTTGGGAGGTGGGTGGATCATCTGAGGTCAGGAGTTCGAGACCAGCCTGACCAATACGGAGAAACCCCACCTCTACTAAAAATACAAAAATTAGTTGGCCGTAGTGGTGCGCACCTGTAATCCCAGCTACTCGGGAGGCTGAGGCAAAAGAATTGCTTGAACCCGGGAGGCGGAGAGGTTGCAGTGAGCCGAGATCGCGCCATTGCACTCCAGACTGGGCAACAAAAGTGAAACTTCATCTCAAAGAAAGAAAAAGAAAAATTAAAAAACTAGGCCAGGTGCAGTGGCTCATGTCTGTAATTCCAGAACTTTGGGAGGCCGAGGCAGGCAGATCACCTGAAGTCAGGAGTTCGAGACCAGCCTGACCAACATGGAGAAACTCCCATCTCTATTAAAAATACAAAAAATTAGCTGGGCATGGTGGCGCGTGCCTGTAACCCCAGCTACTTGGGAGGCTGAGGCAGGAGAATTGCTTGAACCCAGGAGGCGGAGGTTGCGGTGAGCCGAGATCGCGCCACTGCACTCCAGCTTGGGTCACAAGAGCGAAACTCCGTTTCAAAATAAATAAATAAATAAAAATTTAAAAAATAGGCCAGGTGTGGTGGCTCATGCCTGTAATCCCAGCACTAGGGAGACTGAGGCGGGTGGGTCACCTGAGGTCAGGCGTGAGAGATCAGCCTGGCCAACATGGTAAAACCCCTTCTCTACTAAAAATACAAAAAAAAATTAGCCAGGCATGGTGGTGCACACCTGTAATCCCAGCTACTTGGGAGGCTGAGGAGGGAGGTTGCTTGAATCTGGGCATTCGAGGATTCAGTGAGATGTGATTATGCCACTGCACTCCAGCCTAGGCAACAGTGAGAACCTGTGTCTGAAAAAAAAAAAAAAAAACAAAACGCTGGGCACTGGCTCACGTCTGTAATTCTAACATACTTTGGGAGGCTGAGGCTGACCTCCTAACTTGAGGTCAAGAGTTCGAGACCAGCCTGACCAACATGGTGAAACCCCATCCCTACTAAAAATAACAAAAATCAGCCCGGCGTGGTGGCAGGCACCTGCAATCCCAGCTACTCAGGAGGCTGAGGCAAGAAAATTGCTTGAACGTGGGAGGTGGAAGTTGCAGTGAGCCGAGATTGCTCCATTGTACTCCGGTCTGGGTGACAGAAATCCCGGATGGAAATGCTAGAATGTCTGTCATGTCCCCTGAAGGCCACAGTCTGGGTGAGACAGAGGACAGAGGAGGACAAGGACAACCCCAGCCCTGCAGGTTCTGGGACAGGATGGAGGTGGGGGCACTAGGGGTTCCCAGAGGGAGCAGCCTGGCCGGAGGAGGGGTGGAGGGAGTGGCAGCAGTGTGTGGGCAGCAGGGGAAAGCGGACGGGGTGGGGGGCAGGGTGTCTTTAGCGGATGACTGGGTTTGAGAGCTTCTGGGTCATCGTGTTTAGAAGGAGTGGAGTCCAGGTGAAGAGGGCGGGAACTGCACCCCGGGGGAGCAGGAGCGCCCAGGAGAGGCTCCACACCCTGAGAAGCCCCACCTACGCCTCACCCCTGCACAGTGCCGTGCTCCGCCAGCAGGGGGCGCACAGTGCAGGTGCCAGGAGCGGGCACCTGGGCACACACCTGGCCACACGCCGGTGCAGAGCTGGCGGCAGGCCCTCCCGGCGCAGGAATGGCGGGCCCCCAGCTGCCGCGGCTTCTGTTCGTGCTGCTGGTGCCGGTGCTCCTGCTGAAGGCTTCTGATGTTAGTGACACTACTCCCCATACAGGTAAGGGCAGGTAAAAGGGAGGCTTCCAGAAAGCGGAGGGGCGGGGGTGGGGGACTCACAGCCCAGTCACACACCTGGCTTCTGGACCCCTCCCTCAGGCCACACGGGTCCCCTAGCCCTCCGGGGAAGGCTGGCCTTTCCCCCAGAAACAAACGCAGCAGCCTGAGGACAGCCCAGGCCCCCCTCACTCCCAAGCCCTGGGGCTGTGGGTTCTGCAACCCTAGTGAGCCCTGAACCAGCCGGAGGCTGCAGACGGCCTCACACCTCGTTTGGGGCTCCTTTTCAAATCTCTTTCTTTCAGTCAATCCCTAAAGGGAGAGTGGTGAAGACCTCAGGGTAATGGCAGGTTCAGGGAACAGGGGCTCACTTCCTGGTCGTCAAACATCTGTGGTTCCCGTGAGAAGTTCTTCTGGGTGTCTGACTAAATTCCCTCCTGCTCTCCTATGACACAGTGCCAGCCGGGCGCGGTGGCTCACACCTATAATCCCAGCACTTTGGGAGGCCAAGGTGGGCAGATCACAAGAGCAAGAGATTGAGACCATCCTGGCCAACATGGTGAAACCCCATCTCTACTAAAAATACTGCTGGGCGTGCTGGCTCACGCCTGTAATCCCAACACTTTGGGAGGCCAAGGTGGGCAGGTCATGAGGTCAAGAGATCGAGACCATGCTAGCTAACTCGGTGAAACCCCGTCTCTACTAAAAACACTAAAGATTAGTCGGGCGTGGTGGCGCACACCTGTAGTCCCAGCTACTCTGGAGGCTGAGGCAGGAGAATCGTTTGAACCTGGGAGGCAGAGGTTGCAGTGAGCCGAGATCGCGCCATCGCACTCCAGCCTGGGCGACAGAGCAAGACTCCGTTTCAAAAAATAAAGACAGTGTCTAGGGTGGAGGGGAGGAGCCTTGAGCTTCTCTTCTCACATTCCCTTTTCCCGCCCTCCCCTGCCCCTGTGTCATTACTCTCTCTGACTGGTGTCCTCGCCCCCAAACCCGTAATATCAGCGCAGAGGCCACCATGGCTGAAATGCTCATTGCAGGGAAGGGGTTCATTCTGAAGGCACCATGTGTATCCCCATTTCATAGCTCAGGAAACCGAGGCTCAGTCCAGCCTATCCCAGACCCAGATTAGAACTAGTTGACCTGGAGCCGGGCGCGGTGGCTCAAGCCTGTAATCCCAGCACTTTGGGAGGCCGAGGCGGGTGGATCACGAGGTCGAGAGATCGAGACCATCCTGGTCAACATGGTGAAACCCCGTCTCTACTGAAAATACAAAAAATTAGCTGCGCGTGGTGGCGCGTGCCTGTAATCCCAGCTACTCAGGAGGCTGAGGCAGGAGAATTGCCTGAACCCAGGAGGCGGAGGTTGCGGTGAGCCGAGATCGCGCCATTGCACTCCAGCCTGGGAAACAAGAGCGAAACTCCGTCTCAAAAAAGAAAACAAACAAACAAACAAACAAACAAAAAAACTCCTGACCTTGTGATCTGCCCACTTCAGCCTCCCAAAGTACTGGAATTACAGGCATGAGCCACCGTGCCCGGCCAACTCTTCCTTTTCCAGGTCCACTGCTTTTCCTCAGTTTGCTAAGTGCTCAGCTCCCCAGAATTCTGACTTGGCTTGGGGTCCACTATGGCCTCTGAATCATCTTCATTTCAGCAGAAACAGAGGATGAAGGTCCTTGAGGGGCCTTCTGTCCACCTTCTTAGTCACCTAGGCCAGACCCTCTGCTATTCTGAGCCTCAGTTTCTCATCTGTCAAATGGGGATGAAGTCCAACCCGAGTCCCATGCCTCTTCTAGACTCGGTTGTGATCCCCACAGGGCCTGAGGGACTGCACAGAGATCTGGGAAGGGTAGCATGTGGACCCAGCCCCCTCTCAGAGCCAGTGCTGAGTGTTATTTCCGCATTTCTGCTGCCTGGGGTGCGGCAAGGAGGAAGCGTGAAGGAAGGTCGGCCGAGGGAGAGTGGGAAGGCGGGGCAGGGAGCAGATGAATGAACCCAAGAAGGGCAGCCACCTGAAACTGGGCAGGAGGTAACTGTGGGAGGCGGCTCCGGAACTGCTTTACCGCCCTCAGCCTGCTCCCTGGACTCCATGCCTGGGATGGGACGGGAGCCAGGAAGTGGCTGGGTCAGCGTGCGGAACGGGTGGGTTCCAGAGACATGTTCCCAGTGTCTGTGTCTTTGTGCCTTCCACTATAGTAGAGGTTAGCCTTGGGGTACCTGGAGAAAGTTAGGGCTGACCTCTGAGCTCATAAGTGGATTTTTTTTTTTTTTTTTTTTTTGAGATGGGGTCGTTTTCTGTCGCCCAGGCTGGAGTGCAGTGGCACAATCTCATCTCACTGCAACCTCCAGCCTCCCCGGTTCAAGCAGTTCTCCTGCCTCAGCCTCCTGAGTAGCTGGGCTTACAGGCGACTGCCACCACGCCTAGCTGATTTCTGTATCTTTAGTAGAGACGGGTTTTTGTTTTTTTTTTTTGAGACGGAGTTTCGCTCTTGTTACCCAGGCTAGGAGTGCAATGGCGCGATCTCAGCTCACCGCAACCTCCGCCTCCTGGGTTCAGGCAATTCTCCTGCCTCAGCCTCCTGAGTAGCTCGGATTACAGGCACGCGCCACCATGCCCAGCTAATTTTTTGTATTTTTAGTAGAGACGGGGTTTCACCATGTTGATCAGGATGGTCTCGATCTCCTGACCTCGTGATCCACCCGCCTCGGCCTCCCGAAGTGCTGGGATTACAGGCTTGAGCCAACGCGCCCGGCCTGAGATGGGGTTTTACTGCATTGCCAGGCTCGAACTCTTGGTCTCAGGCAATCCGCCTGCCTCAGCCTCCCAAAGTGCTGGGGTTACAGGCGTGAGCAACTTCACCCAGCCATAAGTAGATGTTTGTAGCTGAGTGTCACTGTGCATTCACTACGTTTTTATTCTATTGTATTTTTGTTGTTGTTTTTTGAGACAGAGTCTCGCTCTGTCACCCAGGCTGCGTGCAATGGCAGGCATCTCGGCTCACTGCAGCCTCCGCCTTCCAGATTCAACAGATTCTCTTGCCTCAGCCTCTGGAGTAGCTGGGACTACAGGCGCGTGTCACCACACCGGGCTAATTTTTTGTATTTCTAGTAGAGACGAAGTTTCACCATGTTGGCCAGGATGGCCTCAATCTCTTGACCTCATGATCTGACCGCCTCAGCCTCCCAAAGTGCTGGGATTACAGGCGTGAGCCACCGCGCCTGGCCTCTACTGTATTTTTTTTTTAGAGACAGGGGTCTTGCTCTGTTGCCCAGGCTGGAGTTCAGTGGCGCAATCATGGTTTACTGCAGCCTCGAACTCCTGGGCTCAAGCGATCCTCCCTCCTCAGTCTCCTGAGTACCTGCCACGAGGCATGCACCGTTATGCCTGGCTATTTTTGTTTTATCTTTTTGTAGATACAGGATCTCGTTATGTCGCTCAGGCTGCAGTGCAGTGGTGTGATCGTGGCTCACTGCAGCCTTGAATTCCTGGGCTCAGGCGATCCTCCTGCCTCAGCGTCCCCAATAGCTGGGAGCACCTGGCTTGTAGACACCCACTTTGAACCTGAATGATGCACTGTCAGAGGCACCAGCTTCTCATGATTTCCACTTGACAGAAAAGGAAACCGAGTCCCAGAAGGTTTAAAGGAGTTGTCTAGCGCACTGCCGGGGGTGCAGTCACTGCCCGTATCTAGAGGGCTTCTAGAACCCTCAGCCGAGAGGCCGGGAGCGCTGATCTGCACTTGAACCTGGGCTGTGGGACTTCAGACAAGGAGCATGAATTTCAGGGGGAGCCTCAGTTTCCCCCAGAGCTCACATGGTGTCCGAAATCCTTTGGGTCTCCCTATGACCCGGGCATTTGCTATCTGTGAGAATAAGAAAAGAGGCCTCCAGAGAGAGGCCGGCGGCTTCATCATCCGCCCCCTGCACCTTTTACAGTATTTTCCTTTTTCCTTTTCATGAAGGAGGCAAAAACAAAAAAACTGGGCACATGACTCAGGCCTGTAATCCCAGCCCTCTGGGAGGCCGAGGCAGGCAGATCACCTGAGGTCAGGAGTTCGAGACCAGTCTGGCCAACGTGGTGAAACTAAAAATGCAAAAATCAGCCGGTGTGGTGGCTGGAGCCTGTAGTCCCAGCTACTCCGGAGGCTGAGGCAGGAGAATTGCCTGAACCCAGGAGGCGGAGGTTGCGGTGAGCTGAGATCACGCCATTGCACTCCAGCCTGGGTCACAAGAGCAAGACTTGTCTCAAAAACAAAACAAAACAAAACAAAACAAAACAAAACAAAACAAAAACAAACAGGGGTCAGGCACAGTGGCTCATGCCTGTAATCTCAGCACTTTGGGAGGCTGAGGCAGGCGGATCATTTGAGGTGAGGAGTTGGAGACCAGTTTGGCCAACATGGCGAAACCCTGGCTCCACTAAAAAAAAAAAAAAAAAATTAGCCAGGTGTAGGCCAGGCACGGTAGCTCACACCTCTAATCCCAGCACTTTGGGAGGCCAAGGCGGGTGGATCATGAAGTCAGGAGTTCGAGACCAGCCTGACTGAAATGGTGAAACCCTGACTCTACTAACAATACAAATATTAGCTGGGCATGGTGGCGGGCACCTGCAATCTCAGCTACTCAGGAGGCTGAGGCAGGAGAATGGCTTGAACCCAGGAGGCGGAGGTTGCAGTGAGCCAAGATCGCGCCACTGAACTCCAGCCTGGGAGACAGAGCAAAAACTCTGTCTTAAAAAACAAACAAACAAATAAACATGGACTGGACGCTGATCTTTGCCACACCCTGAACCAGACACTGGGGACACAGCTGTTAACAAATGGGTAGAAATCCCTGCCTTGCTAAGCGACACCCCAGCGTGGGAAACAGAAAATAACAGTGTAAATGTATCTCCTATGTTCAAGAGTGACAAGGACCAAGGAGAAAAATCAAGCCAGACGAAGATGGAGAGAATAGAACTGTAGGTTTAAAAACTAAAGGCAGCCGGACTCAGGGGCACGCACCTGTACTCCCAACTACTTGGGAAGCTGAGGCAGGAGGATTGCCTGAGCCCAGTTCAAATCCAGCCTGGGCAACAGAGTGAGGCTCTGTCTTTTAAAACTAACGAGGAGGCCAGGCGCGGTGGCTCACGCCTATAATCCCAGCACTTTGGGAGGCCGAGGCGGGTGGATCACAAGGTCGAGAGATCGAGACCATCCTGGTCAACATGGTGAAACCCCGTCTCTACTAAAAACACAAAAAAATTAGCTGGGCATGGTGGCGCGTGCCTGTAATCCCAGCTACTCAGGAGGCTGAGGCAGGAGAATTGCCTTGAACCCAGGAGGCGGAGGTTGCAGGTGAGCCGAGATCGCAGCCATTGCACTCCAGCCTGGGTAACAAGAGCGAAACTCCGTCTCAGAAAAAAAAAACAAAAAAAAAACACACCAAAACTAACAAGGCCAGGTGGGATGGCTCATGCCTGTAACCCCAGCATGAGAGGCTGAGGTGGGAGGATCGCTTGAGCCCAGGAGTTCAAGACCAGCCTGGGCAGACGTAGCCAGACCTTGTCTCTACAAAAAAGAAAAAAAATTAGTAGGCGTGGTGGTGCACGCCTGTAATCCCAGCTACTTGGGAGGCTAAGGCAGGAGAATCGCCTGAACCTGGGAGGCGGAGATAGTGCCCACTGCTCTCCAGCCTGGGTGACAGAACAAGACTCTGTCTCAAAAAAAAGAAAAAGGAAAAAAAAAAAAAAAAAGAGAGAGAGAGAGAGAGAGGGTCTTGCTATGTTGCCCCGGCTGGTGTCTAATTCCTGGGTTTAAGTGATGCTCTCACCTTGACCTCCCAAAGTGCTGGAATTACAGGCGTGAGCCATGGCATCCAGCTTCCAATGATGTTTTTCTTTCCAGATTCTACAACCTTGGGGAAAAGTCCGGAGACTGTCAGCTCTCACCTCTTCGGTTTCTTATCCCTCCACCAACAGCAGCTTCAGTTCAGAGGAACCCAACATCACCTACTCCAGCCCCCTGAGTTTGGAGACAGTCTCCACGACCCACCTCAGCCCCTCAAGTTCAGGAGCAACCCCTACCACCCAGCCTAGCCCCAGCTCCACAGATTCAAGGATGACTGTCTCCTCCCCACAACCAGAGACAATCACCCTCCCTAGTTCCAGCTCCCCCAGTGCAGAGCTCACCCCTTCTTCCCATCCCACCCTCCCCAGTTCCGAATCCCTGACCCCGCACTGGAGCCTCATTTCCCACAGCCCCAGAACCGACCCCTCCTCCATGCCCTTGACCTCCACTGACCAGACATCAGAGGGTCCTGGCCCAGGTGAGTATTAAGAGATTTGGGGCTGGGCACAGTGGTTCTCCTCTGTAATCCCAGCACTTTGGGAAGCCAAGGCAGGTGGATCACCTGAGGTCAGGAGTTCGGGACCAGCCTGACCAACATGTAGAAACCTCGGTGAGCCGAGATCACGCCATTGCAGTCCAGCCTGGGCAACAAGAGTGAAACTCCGTCTCAAACAAACAAACAAACAAACCAAAAACCAAACAACAAACAAACAAACAAAAAAAAACAGAGAGATTTGGGCATTTGTAGGGAGGGGGAGGTTGTACCAGGATGCAGTTTCGGAACTGACCACCAGGGGGAGGCACAGCCCCGAGAATGTTCTGGGAAGGGTTTCCCTGTCTGCTCCATTGTCTAAAGTCTTTCACGCTATGCGCATTTATTAAGCGCCTAGTGTATGTCAGGGCTGGGCACACAGTGATGGCAAAAGAGAAACTAATACTTTCTGTGGTGGGGAGACAGGTTATACATTACGTATTTGAGCCTGGGCAAACTTGCAAGACCTTGTCTCTACAAAAAAAAAATTTTAAATGGCCGGGCGCGGTGGCTCACCCCTGTAATCCTGGCACTTTGGGAGGCCGAGGTGGGCGGATCACCTGAGGTCAGGAGTTCAAGACCAGCCTGGCCAACATGGCAAAACCCCGTCTCTACTAAAAATACAAAAACTAGGTGGGTGTGGTGGCATACACTTGTAGTCTCAGGCACTGGGGAGGCTGAGGAGGGAGGATCACTAGATAGTGGGAGACGGAGGTTGCAGTGCGCTGCGATAGCGCCACTGCACTCCAACCTGTGAGACAGAGCAAGGCCATGTCCGGGGGCAGTGGCTCATGCATGTAATTCCGGCACTTGGGAGGCTGAGGCAGGAGAATTGCTTGAACCTAGGAGGCGGAGGTTGCAGTGAGCTGAGATCGAGCCACTGCATTCCAGCCTGGGCAACAGAGTGAGAATCAATCTCAAAAAAAAAAAAATTAGCATGATGGTGTATGCCTGTAATCCTAGGTACTCAGGAGGCTGGCGTGGGAGGATTGCTTGAGCCCAGGAGATTGAGGCTGCAATGAGCTATGATCACACCATCGAACTTCAGCCTGGGTGATAGAGTGAGACCCTGTCTCTACAATAAATGATGAAAAGGTGGCAGCCTATGCCGGGTGTGGTGGCTCACACCTGTAATCCCAGCACTTTGGGAGGCCGAGGTGGGCAGATCACCTGAGGTCGGAGTTTGAGACTAGCCTGGCCAACATGGAGAAACCCCGTCTCTACTAAAAATACAAAATTAGCTGGGCATGGTGGTGCGTGCCTGTAATCCCAGCTACTCAGGAGGCTGAGGCAGGAGAATCTCTTGAACCCAAGAGGCGGAGGTTGCGGTGAGCGGATACGGTGCCATTGCACTACTCCAGCCTGGGCAACAAGAGTGAAACTCTGTCTCAAAAAAAACAAAAACAAACAAACAAACAAAAAAATGGGAGAGGAAAGAGAGCGCAGCTTCCTGAGAACAGACTTAAAAGGCTCTGGGCCCTGGTGGGTGTCTTAGGCTTTGGGGGAATGGGGCACAGGGCTGACTCTGAGCCCCTTCTCCCAGCTCCAGGTGACACTGGGCCCCCTGAGTTACACAGGGACCCAGGCGTGGTAGTGATTGTGTGTTTGCTGGTGTCTCTTTTGGTCATCGGGTCTGTGGTCCTGGCTGTGAGGTTCTGCCACCGGGATAAGTCCAAGTTTGGGAGGCTGGACGAGGTGTCCATGGTAAGGTGGGGGCTGGGCTGGGGGCTCAACCCTGGGGCCAAGGCTGAGTGGGGGGGGCAGAGGGTTGGGGGAGCTGCCCTCCCAGCCTGAGCTGCAGAACCCGCCGGTGTCTGAATGCCTCCTCGTGTGCTCTTTCCGCAGGGGTCTGTGAATGACAGGTCGGCCTTTGCCTACCACCTCCAGGAGTGAGCCCGGAGAAGCCAACAGAGATGGGGGCGTGGGTGGGGCTGGGGTGCCGGGGAGGAGCAGAACTCGAGGAAATAAAGCCCCAGACTGGGTGCGGTGGCTCATGCCTGTAATCACAGCACTTCGGGAGGCTGAGGCGGGCGGATCACGAGTTCAGGAGTTCGAGACCAGCCTGACCAACATGGTGAAACCCTGTCTCCACTAAAATTATGAAAATTAGCTGGGCATGGTGGCACGCGCCTATAATCCCAGCTACTCAGGAGGCTGAGGCAGGAGAATAGGTTGGACCCGGGAGGCGGAGTTTGCAGTGAGCTGAGATTCTGTCTCAAAAAAATAAACAATTGGTAATAAATAAAGCCCCTACCATTCATCCAAGGCCTCCTGAGTCATGGATTCGTGTGACAAACATTAACTGAGTGCCTACTATGTGCTGGGCTCTCCACTGGGGTCACAGTGGGGACCATGTCTTTACTGTCAGGGGATCCAGAAGCTCAAGGTGGGGACACATAAGAATCAGGAGATCACTTGGCCAGGCACGGTGGCTCATGTCTGTAATCCCAGCACTTTGGGAGGCCAAGGCAGGCAGATCACCTGACCTAAGGAGTTCAAGACCAGCCTGGCCAACATGGCGAAATCCTGTCTCTATTAAAAATACAAAAGTTAGCTGAGCGTGGTGGCAGGTACCTATAATCCCAGCTACTTGGGAGGCTGAGGCAGAGAATCACTTGAACCCGGGAGGCAGAGGTTGCAGTGAGCTGAGATGGCGCCACTGCACTCCAGCCTGGACAACAGAATGAGACTCCGTCTCAAAAAAAAAAAAAAAAAAAAAAAGAAAGAAAGAATCAAGAGATCATGTGAGATCTTTGCTGGTGGCACAGAGGACCATGGAGTCACAGACTGAGACTGTGGCCATACCACAGGGGCTGTGCTGTCCAGGTTTGGTGACAAGGTAGGGAGGCCTCTCTGAGGAGATGACTTTTTTTTTTTAAAAAGGATCTTGTTCTGTTGCCCACGCTGGAGTGCAATGATGTAGTCTTGGCTCACTGCAGCCTCAAGATCCCAGGCTCAGGTGATCCTCCTGCTTCAGCCTCCCGAGTAGCTGTGATTACAGGGGCATGAGGACAGTATGCCTGGCTAATGTGAGACATTTGGGGAGCGGGATGTGGTGGCTTACAACTGTAATTTCAGCACTTTGGGAAGCTGAGGCAGGCAGATTGCTTGAGCTCAGTAGTTTGGGACCAGATTGGGCAACATACCAAAACCCATCACCCTCTTTTTTTTGCTTTTTTGAGACAGTCTCACTCTGTCGCCCAGGCTGGAGTGCAGTGGTGCAATCTCGGCTCACTGCAACCTCCGCCTCCCGGGTTCAAGCGATCCTCCTGCCTCAGCCTCCCGAGTAGCTGGGATTGCAGGCGTGCGCCACCACATCCGGCTAATATTTTGTATTTTAGTAGAGACGGGGTTTCACCATGTTAGCCAGGATAGTCTCCATCTCCTGACCTGGTGATCCACCCACCTCGGCCTCCCAAAGTGCTGGGATTACAGGCGTGAGTCACCGCGCCCGGCCCGGACTTTTTTTATCAGGAGGACATGCGCCTTGTCGTGGGAGGTGTCCCTAAGTTGTCTCCCTGACTGCAGTCTGGAGCTGCCCCGTCAGGGCTGGCTGTGAAATGGAAATTCAGAGAGGCCACAGGGTCAAGGTCACCTGGCACAGGGGGGCAAACGCTGGCCTGAGGCTGGGTCACGCTTTGATGATCTTCGGAGGGAGATGCTGGGGGGGCCTCCTGGGCAATGGGTGATGCTGGTAAAATATTAACTCACAGCAGCGCTGGAGGCCAACAGCCCCACACATCAGCCCCTCCCGCCTCCCACCCTACCCCTTCACCCTCCTGGGGGCCCCAGTTCTGGCCGAATCTGCAGTCCTAACAGTTTGTGACTGGGGGCTCAACCAGAGAGGGTCTTTGATCTGCCTGGGGTCACACAGCGCAGGAGGCACCTTTCCTGGAGCCCCCAGTGGCCCTCCAAAGACCATCCCCCAGCTCTCTAGGCCACGCCCCATGGGCTCTACTTGGAAGCACATATCCCAGACCCTGAGTTGATAAAATCCTCCATTCCCAGAGCTGCTGGTCCCTACTACAGTCTTCCTTGGCGTCCTCTCTCTCTCTCTCTCTCTCTCTCTCTCATACGCAAACACGTGAACAATTAACACCTTCTTCCCCCGCCCCTCCCCTCTTGGCCTCTCGCTCTGGCACCCTCAGGCCCTCTTAGTCACTCTGCTCTCCACCCACTGGGTGCCTCACCCAGGGAAAGTGTGTGGGTTGTGTCCTGGCCTGGCGCCCAGATCATTAAGGGGCTCCGCTGAATGGGTGTTGGGGGAGCTCCCGGCCTCCCTCATGGCCAGGTCGGGTTCTCCCCTCCCGCCTCGCTCCCGGGGGGGTCATGGGAACCAGGCAGGAGTCAGCCGCGGTGATGAGTCCAGATCAGCCGGCCTCCTGGAGCAAGCTTATGTGAGTTTCACGGGGTCTCAGGAGAGGGGCTGGGGGGGGTCTCGTAATCCCCCTGAGACCATCAAAGCAGCTCTGGGAGCTGAATGGGTCTCCCCTGTGGCTGGGGCTGGAGGGGGCCTCATTTCACCGGTCCTGATGCTTCCACCCGCCTTGCTGAACCCGGACGAGTGTGAGAGGGGCTTTGGACACTGGGCCACTGTCCCTGAATGGGGAGCTCTGCCAGGTCCTGGTGGGTGTCTCAAGCTGGTGCCTGCGGTGTGGTCCTGCCACCCTGATTTAATGTCCTTGGGGTCCAAGGGAGGCTGCAGAGAGTGTGAGAGTGAGCTCCTGTCTGGGGGTGTCCCACAGGGCGGGACCCGTGCTCCCAGGGGCCTGCAAGCCTCACAAGCGTCTCCGCAGGTCCAGGGACGTCTGCAGCATGAGGCGCAGCGCGACAGCACTTTCCTTCCGGCTGAGCGAGGTGAGTGGGCCTGAGGGTAGCCCAGGCCATGGGGGAGGAGATGCCCCCAGAGCCCCCTACTCAGAAACACCCAGAGCTGGCCTGGTGGCTCACACCTGCTATCCCAGCACTTTCGGAGGCCGAGGCAGGCGGATCACTTGAGGTCAGCAGTTTGAGACCAGCCTGGCCAACAGGGTGAAACCCCGTCTCTGCTAGACACACACACAAGTTAGCCAGGCGTGGTGGCACAGGCCTGTAATCCCAGCTACTGGGAGGCTGGGGCAGGAGAATCGCTTGAACCTGGGAAACGGACGTTGCAGTGAGCTCAGATGGCGCCACTGCACTCCAGCCTGGGCAACAGAGCGAGACTTCGTCTCAAAGAAAAAAAAAAATAATAATTTTAAAAAAGCACCTAGAGCTGCTTGGGGACCATGTCACAGGGGGCCACTGAGGCCCAGAGAGGCCACCAGGGAGCTGGCGACCTGATCCAAGCATCCAGCCCAGGGCTGTGGCCACTGCTTTTCGGAGCAGGCCCTTGTGCCTGGACACAAGGTTTTGATTCACTCAAGGATAGGAGACCTGGCTGCCCCTATGCCAGGGCAGGGGGCCATGAGGGAGGCCACAGCTTCAGAGCACGGCTGGTACCCCTGTTCTGGGAAACTGAGGCAAGAGGAAAGCCCTGCAAGGGCTGGATGCAAATCCCAGGCCCTTCACCTGAGTGGCTGGTAACCTCTCTAGGACTTAGTGTTGTTTGCATTTTTTGGTTTTTTTTTTTTTTTTTTTTTTGATACAGAGTTTCGCTCTTTTTTTTAAATTTTATTTTTATTTTTATTTTTATAAGAAAAGGAAGAAAGAGAAAGAGGAAGAGGGAGAGAGGATGGGAGTATTGCTTTATTGCCCGGGCTAGAATGCAGTCTAAATATGGGTATGCCTATAATTGTCCTTAATAATGGAGATATAAAAGAAAATGAGGGAAGAGAATAACAAACAAGGAGCCAACCAACATTTCGTTTAAACTTCTAAGTTGATATGATGTGGTACTGATCTACGTATTCCTGTATTGGGTGCGTATATATTTAGGATCTTTAGCTCTTCTTGTTGTTGCATTGATCCTTTTATCATTACATAATGTCCTTCTTTGCTTCTTTTGATCTTTGTTGCTTAATTGTAACTTCTGCTTTTTATTTATTATTTTAACTTTCTGTTTGGTTGGTAAATCCTTCTGCATCCCTTGTTTTGAGTCTTTGTGTATCCTTGAATGTGAGATGGGTCTAGATGCAGCTCACTGATGGGTTTTAGTTTTTTATTCAAATTGCCTGTCTGTCTTTGAATTGAGGGATTTAGTCAATTTAAATTTAGAATTAATAATAATATATGTGAGTTTAATACTGCCATTTAATATTAGCTGGCTATTTTGCCCATTAGTTGATGTAAATTCTTCATTATATTGATGCTGTTTTTGGTATTTTTTAGAAAGGCTGATACTGTTTTTTCCTTTCTATGTGTAGTGGTCCTTTCAGAAGCTCTTGTAAAGCAGGCCTGGTGGTGATGAAATCTCTGAGTGCTTGCTTATTCACAAAAAACTTTATTTTTCCTTCACTTGTGAAGCTTAGTTTGGCTGGATGTGAAATTGGGGGTTGAAAGTTCTTTTCTTTAAGGATGTTGAATATTGGTCCCCCCTCTCTTCTGGCTTGTAGGGTTTCTGCTGAGAGATCTGCTGTAAGTCTGATAGGCTTCCCTTTGTGGGTAACCTGACCTTTCTCTCTGGCTGCCCTTAGTATTTTCTCCTTCATTTCAACCCTGGTGAATCTGACGATTATGTGCCTTGGAGTTGCTCTTCTTGAGGAATATCTCTGTGGTGTTCTCTGTATTACCTGGAGTTGAATACTATCCTGCCTTACTAAGTTGGGAAAATTTTCCTGAATAATATCCTGAAGCGTATTTTCCAGCTTGGATTCATTCTCTTCATCACATTCAGGTACACCTATCAAGCGTAGATTAGGTCTTTTCACATAGTCCCATATTTCTTGGAGACTTTGCTCATTCCTTTTTATCCTTTTTTCTCTAATCTTGTCTTCTTGTTTTATTTCACTGAGTTGATCTTCGACCTCTGATATCCTTTCTTCTGCTTGATCAATTCGGCTGTTAAAACTTGTGCATACTTCATATAGTTCTCGTATTGTGTTTTTC